CTTTTGTGTGTAATGTGTCATTTTTCTCTGGTTACCTTTGAGATTTTCTGTTTATTTCTGTTTCTGAACAGTTTGAACATAATGGTGTTCCTTGATGTGTTTTCCTTATGTTTTGCTTGGGATTTGTATATAAGTACCATCCGCTAACCAGTTGCACCACTGGAGCTTCTGCTTGGGATTTGTAGAGTATCTTGGAACTGTGGGTTTATAGTTTTTATTGTAGAAAAAAATGTGGCCATTATTTCTCTAAACACACTCTCTCTTCCTGTTTTTTCTTTTTTCTTTCATCATCCTTCCTTTTCTTTCTTTCATTATTGAGAATTGAACCCAGGACCTTTGTACTGGGTTATATCCGCAGCCCTTTTTTCATTTATTTTGAGACAGTCACACTAAGTTGCCCAGGCTGGACTTAAATTTGCAGTCTTGCCTCAGCCTCTTAGAGTACTGGGATTACAGGTGTCTACCACATACCTTGCTTCTCCTGTCCTTTAGGAACTCCAACTGAGTATCTGTTGAGTCTCTGTTCACTGATCTCTGTGTTTTCTTTCTTCTGCTTTTGTTTGTTTGTTTGTTTGTTTGTTTTTTGGGACAGGGTCTCACTATGTAGTTCATGCTGACTTTGAACTCACAATAATCTTCTTGCCTCAGCCTCCTGAGTGCTGGGATTACAGACATGAACCACCATGCCTGGCTTCTGTTCATTTTTAAGAAATTTCTTTTAACTCTTTTATTTCAGAAAATTTTATTGCCATTTCTTCACATTTGCTATGTCCTTCTGCAGTTTCTGTTCTGACATTAATCTATTCAAAGTAGTTTTTCATCTCTAAAAGTTTGATTGGGGTCTTTTAAAAATATATTCTTTGTCTCTTATATTTTTGTACATGTAGAACGCAATTATAATAACATTTTAATGCCAGATATGGTGGTGCACACTTGTAATCCTAGCAAGAGGAGGCTGAGGGAGGAGAATTGCTATGAGTTTGAGGCCAGCCTGGAGTACATAGTGAGTTCAAGTCTAGCCTGAACTACATAGTGAGACTGTCTTAAAAAAACAAAAACAAGAAAACAAAAAGCAGTTATAGTAACATTTTAATGTAATTTTCTCTTTGGTGGGAGCAGCTCTTTTGAGACGGGATTTCTATGTAGTCCAAGCTGGCTTTGAACTGTGTAAACCTAGGCTGACCTCAGACTCACAACAGTTCTCCTGCCTCAGCCTCCCAAATGCTGAGATTATAGACATGCCCCCCTATGCCTGGCATTTGCTTAGTGTTTCTACCATGGGTGCCAGTTTTGGGTTGATTTCACTTAATTGATATTCTTATTATGGGTGCATTTTCTTGGTGTGTATACAGCCCAATTTCCGATTGGCTGCTAGACTTTGTGTAATTTACCTTTTTGGGCCCAGGATATTTTTATATTCTTGTGCGACATCTTCAGCTTTGATCAAGCATATAGTTATTTGTAAACAGTTTGACAGAGGTCTTGTTTTTTGGGTTCCTTAGGACTGAAGCAATGCTAGGTTCTCCCCATCAGAGGCTCAAGACCTGTTTGTGTACATTGCCCAGTGCACTATGAATCCAGAGGTTTTTCCATCTGACTAATGGGAGTCAGCACTATTCATCCTGAGTGAGCAGCAGGCACTGTTACCACTAATCCTTTTGGTTGGTTCTTTCACTGGTTTGGGCAGTATCCTGCAAGCATATGCACCTCATTACTCCTCTGAATTGCTGAGGAAGACCTTCCTTTGCAGGTGTCTGGTTTTTCTGCAATCTCTGGCCACCTTAGTCTCCCTGGACTTTCACCATCATCCCCTCAGTTGGCGCCCTCTTGGCTTCATACAGGCCCCTCTGTGTTCTGTTGCTTGGAAACGTTCAATGCAGGATGCTGAAGCAATTGAAGAGCTCAACTCGTTTGTTTTCTGAATTGTCCTTCTGTGATCCATGCTTTGTGTTTTAGAAACTACTTTCACGTTTTTTGCCCATGTTTTGGTTATTTCAGGCAATGGCATAAATCTGGTCCCTGCTTCTCCTTCTTGTCAAGAAGCAGAAGTTTTAAGCTTTGCATATTTAAGGAAGAAAAACAAAGAAGGGTACTGTAAGCAGAGTAGTGAGGAGGATTTGGTAAGGGACCAGTGTATGAACCCTTTAGGTCTTAGTAAGGATTCATTTAGCTAATGATTAGGAGCCTTGGAGCATTTTGAGTGAGGGAGTTTTAGGATCTGAATTCTGTTTTAAATCTTCCAACTTGCTGCAGGGGACTCCTTAGCTCATTCTAGGCTATATTCCCTGAAATTAGCACTGTGCTCTATCCCTAATCCAATTCTCATGGGCCTCCATGAATGGCAGAGGCTGCAATCCTGGGTATTACAAAATTCCCCTAAGAATCTGGATGGAGGTGCCACCTTTCCCGCCCCCCACCCCTTTGGAGGCCCTTTTTACCTTCTGGGCTTGAATTCCATTGTCCTTTGCAGAAGTGAGACACCTCAGCTGTTCACTGTGTTGCCAGAGAAGAGAACAGCCACCGTTGGGGGAGCCATGATGGGTTCAACCCACATTTATGACATGTCCACGGTGAGCACTTAGAGGATACGCCTTTGGAGGACTTGGGAGGATGGGGTGGAACTAAGGCTTCTGAAACACTTTTTGGAGGTGACAAGACCTTGATCTTTATTCTAGGTTATGAGCCGGAAGGGTCCAGCCCCAGAGCTGCAAGGTGTGGAAGTGGCCCTGGCTCCTGAGGAGTTGGAGCTGGATCCAATGGCCATGACCCAGAAGTATGAGGAGCATGTACGGGAACAGCAGGCACAAGTGGAGAAGGAAGACTTCAGTGACATGGTGGCTGAGCATGCTGCCAAACAGAAGGTGGGCACTCCTTGGGCTGGGGATCGAGCTGGGAGCAGGGGCTGCCTTTTCCAGTGCAGTTTTGCCCTCTAGTGGTGAGGATAAAGGTGTAGTCAGTGCCTGTGGTCCTAGTGGCATCCTTACACTGAAGCACCAGAAAAGAATTTATCCAAGTCTGAGAGGAAGGTGGGAACAGAATCTAGACTGAGTACTTTACCAGGACTTCGATGTTTGTGCCAGGCTGCTCTCCTTGTTTGACGGGGTTGGGGTTGTTTAACTTGTTATAACCTGCTTTTCTCTCCTACAGCAAAAGAAACGGAAAGCTCAGCCCCAGGACAGCCGTGGGGGCAGCAAGAAATACAAGGAGTTCAAGTTTTAGGACCCCACACACTACTGACCTTCTTTTAAGCCCTTTTTCTGGATGCCTGGACTTCATACATGGGTCCCCAAGAGCACGCTGTCCTGCAGCTCCCAAGGGCTTGTCATTTCATGTTATTTTAGACTTGTTTTGTAAATAAAGCTGCTTCCCAAGGAAAGAGATGAATATGTAACACGCTGGATTCTTTCTCATCTCTTTTTAGCCCCTTCTGCAATCTTAGAATGCTTAGAATAGCATCTTCTTACAACCATTGGACTGCCCCAGTGACCCAGGCAGGTAGTTGGACCCCATGTTACAGTTGAGACTTTGTGAAGTGAAAGCCAAAGCTGACAATGTGGATGGTTTACCACCCCACTTCCCTTCTGTGTAGGAAGGCTCTGGGGAAGTACCTCCAGGTCTGATTTGACCTTACTACTTTGTCCTTGGGGAGTAAAAATAGCCAGCTTAGTGCCCTGGCTAGACTGGGGAAGTAACAGTGGGGCTGGGATGTAGGCCAGGTCAGGCCTCCTAATTGACCTTGTAGCAGAAAGTTCGAATCCTTAACTGTGAGAGAACATAGCCAAAATCTTAATTGTCCTGGGTTCCTATGAGCCTTTGGTGTGTGTATGTTCGTGTTTGTAGGGAAGGGATACATGCTTTCTCCGGGTTCCCCTGGTCCTAAAAGTCTTTGACAAGCTAGACTGGGTTGGCCCACTGGATCCTACAGGCATTTTCAAGTGTGGGGGCCCGAAGTCACACACCATTGTTGCCCTACCAGTGTCTGTCTGTATTAGTACACCAAGGGAGGTGTCAGAGTGCTGGAGGTTTCAAGATAGTTTCTAGAAGGGGGCGTGGACAGTCCAACAGAGGATGTGGCAGCTGGTAGGCCTGGGAAAGATAGAATTCAAGAAATTGAGAAAACACAAGCACTCTGGACCTGGCCAGGCTTAGCTTAATTTCCCCTGGCAGGGGCGAGGGGTGGGGGTGGTGCTTTTGGTGCTTAGGTTCCAGAGCCCCTGCCTGCCCTTAGGGCAAGAACAGCCCTGCTCCCAGGGCCTGCCACTCAGGCCACTGGGTTCCTACCGACTGGCCACTCCCTTTGGTATTTTGTGAAAAAGTCGAAGGCACAAAGGCGGGTCTGGGGGCGGTGGACAAGAGACTTCCACGTCGCACGCGGCCGGCGGTACGTCTGGTTCTGGTCCTTTCAGCTGACTGCGCAGAAGCACGGTCCTGCAGCAGTCCCCCTCCCAGCCGGGGCCGCGCCCCGGAAAAGTGGGGTTTCC